ACATGATGAACTCAGAATTATCTTATTGGTTGACCGTAAGGTGTTAAGTTCAAAGTTGACGAACTTTCTACGATACGTTAAAGTTCTTAAGTTACGTTATGAACATTTATAAATAAGTATACGTAAATTCAATATTTCAACTTTTTACGTTAAGTTCTTAAGTTACGTTACGGCGGTTATAAATTAAGCTTTATGATTGGTCTAAGTTGCAACATAAACTTAAGTTAAAAGTTATCTTTATACATTGAAACCGTGATTGTAATGTTGATAATATGAAGACAATTTGTAGTGACATTTATCAACTTTAGAAAGTTCATTTGGCAAATATTCACATTGATTTTAGTCAATTTTTAATAAATGTATTCAATTATTTAATAACTATTACACAGAATTATGCAATAGTTAGTAAAACTTATTAAACATATCAGTTACAGACATTTCTATAACAATATGTCATTTAATGCCTATTAATGCGTTCAAATTTTAATTATTTATAAAGATTGGCAATATAAATTTTTCCCATTGGAACTAAGATATTTTGAGTGTAAAACATTAAACCCAAAATGAGCATTTTTATTTTAATCACGTAAGTAAACAAGCAATGTACTAAATATGTGTATATAAATATTTTTTTTGAAACAACATAAGTGTAGTTTAATTTTTCAAACCTCTACATTTTTAGGACTACAAAAATGCCTTTGCATCAATGGTGTGCATTTCAACAATAAGTAATGGTTCAAACTTGTCAACTGGTTAAATATAAATTACAAAATCCCCAAAACGTATACAAGGGTGGTTTGACAGAAGAGTGACTTTTCAGAGGTTGGCAACACTTTCGCTATTGTAATTATATTGGTAGTTTCCGCCATGTATCTAATGTCATCTGTCAAAATTTTACATAAATCTGACAGATTAGTTTTAATACTCATGAAGAAAACTGTTTTGTTCCATCATGACAATGCGCCTGTCCATTCGTCCACTATTGTTGCAGAAAAATTAGCAAAACTGCAATACGATTTATTGCCTCATCCACCATATTCACCTGATCTGGCTCCCTCTGATCACTTTCTGTTCCCAAACAAAAAAATGGCTTGGTGGAAAGCGATTTCAGAAAAATGAGGTGATGGCAGGGACAAACTCGCTCTAAGTGTGTAGAGTTAAAAAGAGTTTATGTTGAAAAATAAAATATTTTTTTACAGTAAAGTAACTTTTTTATTGAAATGTCACTCTTCCGTCAAACCACCCTCATATACTTAAAAGTTTTTATGATTTTTAATGTGTAAAAATATTAATAATATTAAATTACTTGGAAAAATTAATACAAAAAAGTAAATTTTTGGAATCTATGTATTAAAATTTTATTTTTAATTTTTTTTAATGGATACACTAAAATAGTAAAGTGGCCAGCACATGAAATAAAGTTTAATAAAACAAATCTACTTTATGAGAAAAACTTCCTAATATCTTGTTAGTCCAGAAAAAAACTTCAAAACCACAGACCTGGGCTGCAAGAAAGAATGGTGCAAGCAACCGAAAGTCATGCCATTCAGTGGTATACGGATAGTTCCAAAACCATAGAAGCAACTGGACTAGGAGTGTATGGGCCTAGAACCAGGGTCTCTGAAAGTTTGAGTGTATACCCAAACACCTTCCAGGCGGAAATTCACGCCATTGAGAAGTATATCCAGCTCAACATCGAGAGAAACTATCGCAGACAAGACTAGAGATTATCATCATGAACATGGTCAGTAGAAGAACCGATAATTGGAACAATCTCTTGGGATTAAGAGAGGCTAAGAGACTTCTGGGTGAATATAACCAGAAAAGAACATGCTAGACATTGTAACAGGGATCGTTACCGGGCATTGCCGATTTAGAGTAAACTGAGAATAGTAGAAGATAAAGAGTGCAGATTCTGTGAGGAGGAGGATGAAACCTCCATTCACATTTTGACTGAATGTGTAGCACTCCAGAATCCAAGGGCACTATACTTAAGAGCATACCAAATAGAAGAGGTCAATCTACCTAACTTTAAGCCACTCCAAATCCTATATTTCCTTGAAAAGATAGGATTGGAAGGGTGGTTATAGGCATCGTTACTATTTCCTCAATGCATTAGCGACAGAAGGGGACACAATAGATCTTTTACTTCACAGTGCAATAATACCCATACCCTACATAACAGTCCAGAATTAAAAATAGTAAAAGTGCCATTAACAATGCTTTTTTTTTTAAATATATTTACATACATTCAGAAAATAGTATTTTTTCGTTCCACCCTTTTGCCACCGCAGTATTGGGGATAGCCAATTTTAATCAACAAAAGTAAGACAACTCCTGGTTACGGTCTAAAAATTTTCCAACAAGAAATTATACTTCTGTAATTTATTTAATAAAAATGCTTTCAAATTTGTTCTATTATTTTCTTCTTACTGCATAAATTTTGTTTTACACGCCATTATTAATTAAAACTAAGTCAAAACAAATGGGGTGACAATTTAAAAGTTATGTCTCATGATATCATAAAAATAAAACTAATAAAAACAATGTATTTAAATCTAGGCTAGAAATATTTATTATTATTTCCTTTATTTAGCTAGTTTGCTAATATACAAATTTAGTAAAAATATACTGTTTTCACACGTCAGTGTTACTTCGATCATGAATCGAGTGGCAGACTTCCAAGGTCGCGCGCACACACGGTTGACTGCGTCACAATACATTTAAAAAATATTTAATTCAGATCAACATGCAATTTTCTGTTTAACTATTAAATTATTATGCATCATTGAACCACCCTGTATTCTGCATAGGGTATAACTTATATCGTCGAAAATAATTTTTTCTAGCTTTCCAATGATATATATTATGACAAGTAGTGGGTTGCTATTTTTGTTTGTTGAGCAAGGGTTTTTTTCATGGGATGATAATTCAAAAACTCGCAATGGCTATATTTCAAGAACTAAAGATGATATGAGTCATCTACTTGCAAAACCAGCTACATCCAAAAAATTTCAAAACGAATTTTATGAAATACTCTTTATTACATGGTATATTCCGATTATATCATAAGCGACTCCATTCGACTGAAATCTTCAAATATGGGGATGCATTGCAAAAGCGGGCCCATCCAAATTATTGAATTAAGCAACAATGAAATGTTCTCAGAATTTGGCTGGAAGAAGATATTTGTGATGTTCCAAAAGAAATAGCACAACCCAATATTTAAATACCAGAACCAATTCGTTCAACTTTCTTAATAATGTTTAAAATGATTAGTCTTTTTTTTTTCTTCTGAAATGTTTGTTCTCAATCATTCTAGATGTTCAAATTTTTGTAACTTTATTTTATAATACCAAATATATTTACGTATTAGAACCACATTTTCTCTATTTAATTTATAAAACTTGAAAAAAATGACAAAAAAATAAATTTTAATATTATTTGTAATGTGTCTTGATACACAATTCAAACCTCTATACCATCTTGATTATTGGAACAGGATTTTTTAAAGTGTTCCTTATAATACAGTGCTTGTTTTTTCGTATTAGGCATACGACTATAATACGAGTTAATAAAATGGCAACACCCAGTTGTCGATTAGAATTAGAAGATATGGTGGTGGGATATTAGCCGAACCGAATGTCGGTCACAAAAGCAAAGAGTATAGCGATAGCGGGGATATCGTAATTGCCACATATTGGCTGTGAAAGCACGGCTATGATTAATACACAATAATAAGTACTGTATCTCCAATACAATGTAACATATCGGAAACAAATAGTTCATTCAAAGTTAGGAATATTGATATTTTTGCTAATATCTCAATATTTGTTAAAACGGATATGAGAAAATGCTTAAAATCGTTTGTAGGATATGAAGGGGCAACTTAAATGTTATAATACAGATCTTTCTCCATCAAATCATTTCGCCCCTATTACCTCAACAATAACTAAGTAATGGTATCAAATTTTCGGTATTTCTATGAATCGCCTTCAGGAAGACAGTCAAACCCAATTTTGTTTAAATGGCTAGATTGCATTTTTATGGGGAATGACTGTTCATTGCATTACTTTTGATTTTAGCAAAATTGTTAATATTATAAAGTGTGACACATCATTTGAAAGCTGATTTTATTATGTGGATCACTGTTTATGTTTAATAAGAACGATTTAAATAGTCAATTTTTATTTTATTGGGTAGTACTGCCCAATATTTATTTTTTGCTTAGTTTTTTGAGAATGTTAATAATTTAAAATTTATTTGCTGATAAATTTTGACTTAATTGAAGAGACAAGTGGATGAAGCAAAATAACTTTTACGATATATATTTCGTGTTAAAGTTTATTGTTTGGCAGTTATTCCCCCTAGTACATGGGTCCTTTATCCACTGGCAACTTCTATATTTGATGATATATTGTCACGGAAATAATTTTAAACGAATTTTAGGTACATAAGCCCTTCATTCACAGAAAAACACCATTTAAAAAAATGTTACATAGGCCCTTTATCCACTTGTGTCTTCAAATATTATTGCAATTTTTGTTTTATTTTAACAATTTTACCAATTACATAGATTATCTTTTGATAAATATATCATTGAAATACAATGTTATAATTTTGTTTATTTTTGAATTTGTAACATTATTAGTCCTTAACAAAAAAAAATGTTTTTAAGTGGAAGTAAACATTAAAAACAACGTATCATTAAAATACAAAATAATTAGTTTCAAAGTTTTTATTTAAATGAAGGATAACATAAATAACTAGTAAATATAGAAGATAGTTTTTTGCAATAAAAAAATGGTACTGTTTACATTTTTGTTCATAAAAAGAAGTAAAGCTGTTTGAAATTACAAATTATTTTTAACCATTTTATGTTTATTTTAATTTAGGATTAAAAAAGAGTTCTTAAAATAAGTTTATAAACTGGCATTTTATATTTTATGAATGTCATGCAAGTTTATTGATTAATAATTATACCTGTTATTTACTTATAGACCTGTACATAAACCATTAGATGACGAGCATGTATCGGGGAATGAACTTGACAGCTCAAATGATGAAGAAGAGGAGTCTGAAGATGATCCCAATAAACTTTGGTGCATATGTAACCAACCACATAATAATCGCTTCATGATTTGTTGTGATACTTGTGAAGAATGGTATCATGGCAAGTGTGTAAACATTACGAAAACAATGGGACAGCAAATGGAAGCAGAAGGCCGAGAGTGGATCTGTTTATTTTGTAAGGTAAGTTTTGACAAATACGTGACAGTGTGTAATGGATGAAGGTGCTTTATAATAATTAAAAAAGTATATTTATTTCTTAGTGTTTTGAAAAGTTATTAGTTGGTCATGTTTCAACCCTAGTTTTTTTATAAAATTTATTAAATCAGTAAGTATAGTTGCGATCAGAGGTAATTTTTATTTTGTTGAATACATAGGCTTCGTACCCTTATAGAGCTTGATTTCTCCTGAAAATTTCAAGTTGATATCATTTTTCGTTTTTGACTTATCGTGCGGACAAAAAATGTGACATCTGAAAAATTTAAAATTTGATGAAAAGGATTTTTATACATTTTTTTTTTAAATTTGGACAGACTACTGTGTGAAGAGCATAATTACTATACTTACCCAATTATTATTTTTATGAAGTTATTTATATGCTATTTTTGCAGATAATTGAGTATTTGATAATAACAAAGACAGCTCAGTTGTATTGTCAATCTGATTCAGATTGATTAGTTTGTTTATTATTATTTAATAAAAATCTACTGTCTGGTTTTCTTCCACTAACTTACTGTTCTACAAAATGTTCACCTGGCAACACTAGAGTGCCGCAGTGTGCATTAAACCTTTGTTAAAATAAATTTGAGGTGTTTTAAGCGAGTGTTTGGTTTAAAAAAATTTTGACTTCTTTAAACCATTTAAATTTTAGCTATGCAACTATGACCTCACGTACTAAATATTTTAAACCAAAGCTAAAATGTTTGAACCAGTCAGAAGCATAATGGTTGACACATGAGATATTCTGATTTTGGCTGTTGTATGTTGTTTTGTTCTGTTCCATCTTTGAAAATTTTTGATTATTGATAACTTCATACACTTCATGCATATAGGTGATTCATATTCATAGATTATTTATTAGTTATAATCATTGATCTGTATTATTTTACAGGATAGGATATAGGCTATATTTGACATAGTAAAAATCCGTTGCACCAAGGAGACCGGAAGTGCAACACTGCTGGCCGATTTGGGCAAATTATGGCGGGATAATTTGACATATTTAACCTATAATTTGATTAGTTATTTTTCTTATTATTCTTCTTTCCTCTTACAGGCAATGTCCTTCGGGATTTTTTATGAAAGAAAATATAAAAAATGGAAACATGAAGCATATTGTGTCTTCACGAATTAACGTTTATTGTTTATATCATATAGTAATACTATCCAATACTACCTACGTAAATAGCAGATAAAAGTTCAGTACTAAAGTACCTATAGTGGAAAGGAAAATTCTTAAAACTGCACTGGGGATTTTTATCACCTATGGGGACTACAACTAAAAGGAGATATTGATAATAGAAATAACAGTCTCGAGCTAGAACTACATACCTAGATGGTCGAATCACTTTAGGAAACAAGTATGAAACGAGAATAAGTGAGTTTGCCATTGTTACAATAAAACTAGGAAGAACATGGATATAAATATGATTAAAAGATGTAGAAGAAGATCTAAACAATACCTGTGAAAATGTTTAACTGATAAAACAACATTGATACATGTAACTAAACCGATTAGAATTGGTACTGATCTAGTGGTGTTGTCAGACACATGATTTATATTAAGAATTTTGCTAGATAATGTAGTTAAAATATATTTTAAATTACCTACACTTGTCTAGGAAAGCTAACAAAATTTACCGATTATTACCACTGTTTGAAATTTTAATTAACATTTCTAACTCTTCCAGGTTAATACATGTTTTTTTGTTGTCTCTAACCATTTTTACACTATACAAACTACATTGAAATTTGTGCAACTCATAAATATATATACATTCAAAAATTGTTTAAAAAAATTAAATTTTGTGTAGATTATTCGAATGTAATTTACAATTAAATAAAGAACAAATTTTTACAATTATGCAAATATTGATTTATATATATTTTAAATAAAATAGAAGAAATCATTGGAAAATGTAAAAAAATAAGCATTTATGTTGTAATAGTTTTATTAATGTAAAAACATATAAAGTAATATTTTTAAATGCATTACCATAAGATGTCAAAATTAATTTGACTTCTAATCCTGTAAGTTCTACATGATTAAAACAGAAGTTCCTAAAAACTCAGGTTTGATCTCACTCTGCAGGAAAGTCCTCAGCCACAAACCCGACTCTAATATATTCCAGTGAACTCAGCAATAGATATACAGTATGGTTCAAATGAAAGGAATAAATTCATTATAATGGAAGTAGTTGGTTTTTGGAAAAAATGCTCGGACAGATCAATTTTGTTTACTCAAAACGCAATTTTTTAAATAGAATTCAATTTTCCCCCACTTCCCATTTTTGGGCAGTGACGTCATTGACAATTTTTTTAAATAGTAACCCCAATTTTTTTTTCTTGATTTTGAAAGATCTTGCAATTTCCTACTCGGAAACATAATATTTGAAATATCTTACATAACAATTTTTTTTTGAATAAAAGTCATTTAAAGATCAGACACAAAAATTTTATTTTATTTTGAGACCACAATAAATCAAAAGATAATTATTGGTAATTAAGTGCTTAATCTAACAAAATAATAATAATAATAATAATAAAGAATTTCTGAAACTGTCATTAAATTTTTTTTATTATTTTTTTAGCATTTTTTCGAAAAACCAACTACTTCCATTATAATGAATTTATTCCTTTTATTTGAACCATACTGTATAATTGTTACTCAACAAAAATACCAACCATTACTTGCAGGTGCTTATGAAGAGTGTTTTCAATTAAAACTTTTCAACTAATTGGTTAAACAATCTTTTAAGACCAGAGATGGGTAGTGGGAATATGTCCTGGAAATATTTCTCATCGGTTTTGCGGAAATATTCCTCAATAGTTTTGGGGGAACATTTCTGCACTTACATTAAAATTGTTCATATCATACTCTTCAGCCATTTCCCCAAAAGCTCAAATTCTGTAGGAAACCGTAAATAAAAAGAACATTATTTAATTTAGTAATAATCGTTTTAATTCACTTCAATTTTCTCATTTAATCTAAAATTGTTATTTGTATTCTTGTATAATAATGTGTAAATTAGTAATTGTTTCAGTTTGTTTTGACAAAATAGTTAGATCTATTAACAAATTATTATAAATACAATAGTTTTATTTACCTATGAAGAGTACGGATACTCTTTTCACTTCGTTTTCCACACTAAAACGTCTTCATCGTAATTTGTTGACACAATTAAATGACAAATGGATATAGAGGTTATGTTAAATAACATCCGGTCCACCATATTAGCTTTGTTCGCGGTAAGAATCCTGAACCGAATTATTACTATTAGTAACGACTTTGCAGGCACAGTAGTTAAAAAGCGTTCGCGGAACAAAAAGAACTGAATTATTGGTTCTATCCTGCGTTCGCCGTAAAATTATTGGTTTTGAACCGCTTGTCTATACCTGAAACACCGAGATATAATAGGGATTGCGCACGCGGTAAAAATTCAGAATTGATAATGATTTGGGCATGCGCTCAAAATATGAATTAGTAGTTCTAAATCAGTTCAGGATTGTTACCGCGAACGAAGCTATTATTTGCCCAAATCGGCCAATTTTTCGGAACGCTTTTTAAGCGACTATATCCTATCCAGTAAAATAATACAGATCAGTGGTTATATTACAAATATCATTAATTTTTCTCGTTATATGTTGTAAACATCATACAGTTGTACGGTGTGATCTATAAGTAACTGTTGATTATGAATCGATGATGCAATTGAAATAAGGTAAAATAATGTCTTATAAAATGAACGTTTTTGCTAAAATAATTACCTAGATTGCTTCAGATTCTGAATTAGCTAGCAAATATTTAAAAGCAATTAAAGGTTATTTAGCACAAGACGTTCTAATTGATGAATTTTGGAAAAGCCCAAAAAATTTACAGCAAAGGATCATCATTCTCGTGTCTGTTGGAACTACGGAAGAAATATGATGCTACGTTTGGACAAGAAAAATACTAAAAACAAAACTGTAAACATTGGGTACGTTCACCAGACGTCAGCAGTTAACTTTAAGCGCTAAACGACTGGGCATTAACATCCGGCAGCAGATGGAAATTGGCTGAACGCTCCGTTGACCGTTGAGTCTCTGTCTGTCACAGAACTGTCAGATTAGACTGTTGAACATAACCTCATATTGTTTGCAATTATTGGCTGATGCCGATCCTCGTCAGAAAACACCAAACGTTAGGTTGACAAATTTTCTGTATTAGTTTCCATAATATGTACGTTTTAAAAATCAAGAAAGAACGCGCAACAATGAACTGTCATCTCACTGCGCATGTCTAAGCATATGTTGAGTCGGCTCAACGCAAATTCATCGCGCTGGGTGAAATTTGCAGCAGATGACATTCAGCGTAAAGTCATCGTGCCTGCCGAACGCGATCGCTTACTTAACTACTCAACTGTTGCCGTCTAGTGAACGCAGCCAGTTTCAGATTGCACTGTATTAAAAACATTCCAATTTTTAATTAAAATCGCTATTAAATACCCATCTTCCTTCATCTGATTTAACAATCAAAAGAAATTCGATTCATTTTTTAAATCAATTTCTATTCTCCTTTTTACAACTTCTCTCAACCGTTTATTCATCAAAACATAACATGGTCAAAATCAGATTTTCAATCAAATTTTGTCATATGACTGTTGGCAGGTGATATTTTTAAAACACCCAATTTTTGTCATCTATGAATATACCTTTCCCATTATTGATATTTTCTATTACTAATGAGCAAATTCCGCTTAAAATCATAAACATTTATTGTTGTTATGTTTCCTACCCTGAGTTCCACATTCGCAAATGTTATTTTGTTTTTGCGATAGTATTGGTAGGGGAGCCAGTGACACTTTTTGTGAGTTATTTGCGAGAGATAAATTTACAAATATTTCGTTTATTCTTACCTTGTAGAACATGGAAATACTTTTCTGTGTAGAAAAGGCTGTCATAAGCGCAAATTTGAAACTTTCAGATATTATTTACATCAAAAGTTAATAGAAAAAGTTTGTTGCCACTTTCTTGAAATTCGTCTCACAGTCACAGTACTTTCTTGTTTGCTTGCTGACAGTGCATTTCACTGCTATATCGAATACATTCTAGAATGTAAAATATAACGATATATTATTTATAATTTAGCCTTGTGCAAATGTATACCAAAAAGGTTTCAGTGGCTCCCTGCTATATATAATCGATGACAGTTGTTTAAAGTAAAAATGTCGTAACCAACACAACAGTTGTAAGGCAAGGATAAGAGAGAGCAAAGAGTGTTGGAAAATTACTAGTTTCAAAAACCTCCGCTTTTTTCGTGCATGTGTAATGCGAAATTGTCGATTAATAGGAAAGATCAATTAATGACCTGTCAGACTGCAAATGGATTCAGATTCCGCAGCCATAGTTCTCGAATTCACACACACACAACTGCTAACAATTGGGAACTGACATTTAGATATGGCAACCCTGTAAGCCTGTTGTCATTGACAGGGTCAATGATACATATATAGTTATATAGATTGCTCAAAACGGGTCGTTTACAAGCGGCCATATTGCCTCCCAAGTGCTCACTAATCAGAATCGATTTTGCAAAAATGTTTTTTTAAATCAATATTTAGCCTTTGAATATTGTAAAAAAATAATTACCTACATTTTTACTTCAAGGCATAAGCTTATGTTTATTTTGAAAAATATGGATGATCAATCTATGTAACTATTTCATTGACCTTGTTAAATCACCAGGCCTACAGGGTTGCTATATCATAACCTGTCAAAACCCACTGTTTTGTTTGGAATGCCTAATTGTTTACCTGGAACATGAAACTGGAGAGTCATTGACTCTGACAGATGATGTTAGTTCAAAACCGTTTTAAAGCGGTAATTTGCGATATTTACCGTTTTGATTAAAGCGATGTTGGTTATTCTTGGTTACTTTCTATAATGTCATATTTAAGCCCGTCATTAATTATAACCGGTAAATACCTGACTTCGGACGAGGGTTAATAATAATAAGTTATATCCAGTTAGTGTTTCCATACTAGTTCCATACTTTATTTTATAAAATAATTTATGTGGAAATCATTTAAAATTTAATTTAAAACTACTACCTACTCCTAGAAGTTACAATTTGAATTTACCGCCATCTGTCAATTGTCATTTTAGTTCCAGCTCCAAACACAAGGTGGCACTAATTTGGTTTAAAAGTTTAACATTGGCGTGGGGTCTCTAGAAGATACGTGCTTTGTGACAGGTACTATCTTAAGAACATCTAAAGCATCCCTTTGAAAGGCGATAGTCACATTTACTGACTTTTATCGTTCAAACTGTTTTAGGTAACTGATCCACGACGAGATTAAAAAAGAATTGGACAGTAGAAGAACCGATAATTGGATCAATCTCTTAAGGCTAAGACAGGCTAAGATACTTCTGGGTGAATATAACCAGAAAAGATCGGAAGCCTGCATCTGCCTGAGCAAGAACGGGCTCCGTATTGTAACAGGGATCCTTACCGGGCATTATCGACTAAAAGGACACCTTAGTAAACTGAGAGTAGTAGAGGATAGCGAGTGCAGATTCTGTGAGGAGGAGGACGAAACCTCCATTCACTTTCTAACTGAATGTGTAGTACTCCAGAATCCAAGGGCACTATATCTAGGAGGATATCAAATAGAAGAGAGAGAGAGAGAGATTTACCTAACTTAAAGCCACTTCAAATCCTACACTTCCTTGAGAAGATAGGATTGGAAGGGTCGTTATAGGCATTGAGACATTTCCTTGGTGCATTAGCGACAGAAGGGGGCACAATAGATCTTTTAGCTCGCAGTGTATTAACACCCCATTCCCAACAATATCTAGGTATCTGTCACATAATTATTTGATTTATAAATTATGTGAAAGGAAAATTGTTGGCAACTAAATTATTATTATTATAATCACCCCATTATCCATTATTAATTGTTACTAAACCAAATGAGTACAATAACACAACGTCTCTACAAAATTGCTTAACGTTGTTCTATTTCTAACTGACAAGAATTCATCGAAATTAAGTTTTAAAATCCAAAATGTTTGAGTTTATTATTCAAAATATTGTGTATTAGAAAACCTTGGCAATATTTTAAAACGGTAATTATGAACTTATCACTTATTATTATATAAGTATCGCTTTATTCTAAACTGTTATTATAACATTTGTCTTTGTTTTGTTTTCCAGATCTAACCCAACTATTTAATAAAATTAATTACATAGGTAACTACCTATTATAAAAATTGTCCTTTAACCCTACTTTCCCAATTATTAAAAACCATAAATCTTTTGTGCACAAAATTTAATTAACTTAAAAGGGACTAACAATAAACAGATACTTTATTCTATTTTTTATTACATATATAATTTATAAAACCTATCATTGCAACGTTTATTCAAGTTATTTGTGTATAAAAATAATGTATGTTTTTAATGTAAAAAATATATGTATTGGTCGACTGAAAAATTCATTTTTGACGGTTTTCTATAAACATCTCATATTAGATCCATTGAAATATCTCAAAACTAATAAAATAATATAAATCAAAAGAATTTCTATTGACATTTATTTGATACGCTACTGGATAATAAAAGTAAACAAACCTCGCTCTTCCCCTCCTAACAACTGGCTTGTATAGGTTGCTTTCAAACAAACGCAATGTAAATTTTTGACATTCAGGTATCTATTATTATTTATTTATCTGAGGTTTAGTCACGTGATTTTATGGTTAACCAAGGGTATAACCGAAGTGTTTTTTGGTTCATTGCTTTAAAACTGTTTAAGATTATTGAAGTTTGTAATGAGCTACCTGATATGACATAAGAACCTTGGCTACAATTTGACAGTTCAAACAAAATGGATGATGAAGGGAAGGGTTAGTATATCTAAGGGGTTGCGACAGATAGTCCTTTTAATTGATGAAGTGGTCACCGAGGCTAGGGGGGAAATAGTAGCCAGCTTAAGTTAGCAACATCATGGAAATGTAATTTTTATGACACTTTTAAAAAACCGCCTATACATTTTTCTTAAATTGGCAGGTTTTGTGACTACTATTTCGAATAAAACTTTCGGAAAACTATGTCGCAACCCCCTTAGATATACGAACCCTGCCTTTATTGTTGACAGGTCGTTCTGATGCTTAATAAAAAAACAACTAAGAAGCAGCTTAATAAAAACAAAAAAGTTCTCAATGTTTGCATAGCAACGGCTTGAAATTACAAAATCTGTTTTGACACATGAAAAATAAACTATTCTAATGATACAATTGTTAAAAATTATAAATATTCTGTTCCTGCATGTCGAATTTAGTATTTTAAAATTTGAATTATGATTTTTACGGAATTATTTTGTTTTAGGATCCTTGTTTGAAAAGACCACAAGCAGCTGCAAGAAGAATTCGTAAAGCTTCTAGAAATTCCAGAACTTCAACTGATAGTTCTGGAAGTGTTGCTAAGAAAGCAGACTCATCTGCGAGTGCAATACCTTGTGTTGTTTGCCAAAAACCAGCTAGAAAAAATTCTATTTATTGTAGTGAAACTTGCATTTTAGCCCATGCTCAAGGAATAGAGAGGGTAAGAATTTGAAAATATTTGCTATTGAAATAAGAGTTAATATATTGATGACTGGAATGTATTTTTGTAGGTGGTAGTTTTTGAAAGATCCACTGGAAAAATGTTAACAGGAAATAAGGCACCTAGTGCATCGAATTTAGACCAGTGGCTCAAAGAACATCCTGGATATGAAGTAGTCAGATCTGGTGGTAAAGTTGTTACAGCAAAAGTAAGTTTTATTTTTGTTTCAAATAAATTTTACAAATTAAAAGTGTGTTGTTTTTTTCAAATAAAAATATTTTCGATTTACATGCCGAAAGTGAAGCTTTCTTTTTTCTTCATTGATATTCCCATAAAGTTTTATAAAAATTGGAAAAGTTTTTACAAAAAAATTCTTGATAAAAAGTTTTGAATCAATAGAAAATCCATAAGTATTAAAATTGGTAAAATATTAATGGTAATAGGGGTGGGCAAAATAATCGATTACTCGATTAATTTTTTTAGACAAAATGAATATGAATAATCGATTATTTTTATTAAATAATCGATAAATCAAATATAAGATTAAAAATATCGATTAATCTAATAAGCGATTATCTGATTATTCGAAACTAATCAATCGCTTTTCTATTATTTGAAAATAACTGATTAACACGTTCGCTGCGCATCGATTTTGAGATAGGGTTAGGCAGGTTGCTGACAATGGTTTTTGCCCAAATTTGATTTAAAACTTTTAATAGAAGTACTGAGATATATGGTGTTAATGGTTCTTTTAGATGTTCCTATGAGTTTTCAGTTCATTTTTAGTTTAAGTTCAGTTGTCAGTTATATGTATGTGTAAACACAAAACAATGAAAGAAAAACTGAAACTGACATGGAGCTGTGGCTCGATGGATTTCCTAAAAGTTTATGTACTGTTATCAGTTGAAATGATTTGTAAACAAATTTGTCTTCTTATTTGCAGAAGATTTGTAAATATCGGTATGTTAGGCTTGTTCCAACAACAATCTGAAAACAGTTGTTGACCAGGATTCTGCGCAGTTGATTATTTAGACCGCCAAATTCTTACTGCACACAATCCTGGTGGCAATGACTGGTTTATGATCGTTGTTGGTACAAACCTGTTAAAACATGGCTTTCTGATAACAAATATTGATATTTATCTGCAACACTACTTACAGTACAGTATTTTAGTACTTTTAATATAGATTTACAAGTTTCAGATATTATGATACTATTACAGTAAGAAATCTAAGACTTTGCAAAGTACTCCCAGTTGTCAAAAATCTTAGTGTTGCACTTCTCGTTTGGTGATATATCTCCTTTCTTGACTCGCTTTTTTATAAGTGGTGTACCCAAGTAGGTACAGCAATTCTTTATATGCATCTTATCCATAAGTAGTTTGACCATTCACAAGGTTCAAAATGAAGTTCCATCATTAAATTAACATGAGACAGTAATTTTCTTTTTAGGAGCCAATTTTTGTTCAATTTAGTTCTTTTCTTTCATGGTCCCTTTAGCACTAAGCACAAAGTGATCGCAATTAGGTAATCTTCATCCATCACTGATGTACACAACAAATGAAAACTCAAACTGATCGTTTCCACAAATGAAGTTACAACTGAAATTTAAACTGAACTGAAAACTGCTATGACGGTCTAAAAGGACCTTAAGATTTATTTAATATTATGTCATTTCCCTGCCATGAAAGACACGATCCGTGTTTTCAGCATACCTTAACAATATTCACAGCATATGCTGAAGGACGTGAATTTGCGAATTGCTATTCTTGTCTAAAAAAGACATTACACAAAATAAAAACAATTGTATATATAAATATACATGTCATTACAACATTAAAAGTAATTCTGTTACAATAAATGATAATTTTAAAGATACTAAAATAACAGGAAGAGTTAAAAAATAACCTTCACTCAATATATTTTTGCCGTTTACGACGGGAACAACTCTGTTCACTATCTTCCATTTTACTGTAACGTCAAAACTAACAATATAATCTTTAAATTGAAAATTAAGCGAAATATGTTTTCAATAAATCACCTAAGTGCTCTAACGGTCGCAAGTACAGTGCTGAATAAGTTACACATATTAGAAGCTTCCGTTGTTTAGGATGGGAATTCGCTTTCTCAGCAGCGAATGTGTTAATGAAAAATAATCGATCTCTTTATTAATCAAATAATTGGCAATCGCCCAGCCCTAGATGGTATACAGGGAAAATAAAAATGATTTTATAATGAAGAGCAGAATACTTAAAAATTTCAATATATAGCAAAATATTAATTAAAATGTTGATAAGAATTAAAAAATATGTACTTATTTTTGTGATTTTTCTAATTCTACAAATTTTTTACTTGATTATGCATTTCAGAACATTATCAAGTATTTTATTTTTGTGAAATGTAAGAAACCTTTTTCCCATTTGTATAAAATTTTTCGGGGCACACTGTGTATCTGAATATTAATAAAATAGTAAACTGTAAAAACGTTAAATTCATAATGCCAATAAGTTATTATATATTTTGATTCACAGGCTGGCAACTTAGCGCAAACAAAATTAAAGTTAGTTAAAAACGTTAATAATCATGGCGTCTCTCTGGCTGCCCAAAAAAAAGGTGGTATTAGCGTTGGAGTCATTAAACACTCGCCAAAGCAGCAGCAGCAGGAGCAACAACAACAACATCAAAAAGTTAAATCTGCGTTAAAAGCATCGTTAACTGGATTAAAGCAACCTATACCGAAGCTACCATTAATGAGAGAATCTTTAAAATCGAAGTTGATCGCGGAGCCATTGAAAAGTCCGCCTGCAAGCACCCCTCCAAAAATTCCTAAACTGATACAAAGTACTTTGACAAAGACGATGAAAAGTGCAGAAAAGGTACAAAAAAGTCCCATCACTCCAAACAAGGATAGACCTATTGTAACTAAAGAAAGAACTATGAGCACTGGTTCAAAGGAAAAAGCTGTCATTCGAACTCCTAAACCGAAAAAGGTGAGTGCCATTATAACTGATAAACATTGTTAGGTGTCAGTCTCAAAGAAAGACTAAATTCATTGTTTCCACTTTTTCCACTGGATTAGTAATCTTTATTTTTCTCTTCCACTAATAACTATGCTGACTTTAGCAATAAAAAAAAAAGAATAAGAGGCCATATTTTTTTTAATCTAAATTTTGCAAATTAAGAGGTTGCAATGTTAAATCTTTTCGTAGATGTACTAGTATATAGTTTATAAATTCCAATATTTTCACAGGTAGAAAAAGAAGAAACAACACCACAAAAACAACCAGAGAATATAAGAGAAAATGTACAAAAGACTGTATCTGAACAACTAATGAATCGTCTCAAAGGTAACGAGGATTTGAAATTGTCTGAAGATGAAGTCAAATCAATATCCACAGAGATTGAATCGCAATTATTTAAGTGTTTTGGTGATACTGGTCAGAAATATAGGAATAAATACAGAAGTTTAATTTTCAACATCAAAGATGTTAAAAATCAAACATTATGGAGGAGAATTTGCGAGAAAAGTATAAATCCTTATGAACTGGTAAGACAAAATATTCACAAATAAAACTGAGTTATGAATTCTTCGTTTTATAGGTAAGATTATCTACTGATGACATGGCCAATCAAGAGTTGGCTCAGTGGAGGGAAAAAGAAGCCAAACATCAATTGGATATGATTAAAAAGTCAGAATTGGAGCTGTTAAATTGCAATAGACAGTATGTCTTAAAAACACATAAAGGTATGTACTATTAACAAATTATCTTTTATAGAAAATGCATAAAATAACGTTATGAAGGTTAAATGTTTTTGGTGATATATTTTTTTTAATTATTCAAAAGTAGTATTTTTTTTGTATTATATCCTTTCTAGGTGAACAAGTAGTTGAAGATGACCATGGTAATAAAGTTGATAACACAGAAGTAATAAAGAGTTTAACAGAAGGTTCAGCATTGGATTCTGGAGAAACTAAAAGAGATAATTCAAAGGAACGCGACAAAAAGAATAGTTCCAAACACAATCACAAGGACAAAGATAGAGACAGGGAGAGAAAGAGCAGCAAAGAAAAAGATCACAGAAGTCACAGATCTTCAAGTAGAGACAGGTAAGTAAAATGATATGATAAGGTGTAACAACGAATTTAAATGTGTTCACTTTAATTTTTGTTTTGTAAAGTTCAGTTCCAAAATAGTAGGCACTAAAATCTCAGAAATACTACAGCCTTAAAACGAAAACATTCTTGTCAGGTTGTGATTCTAGATATTTTAGCATAGAATAACATACGTGTTTTATCTTAATGGCAAAATACTTAGTACAGTTCAAAAATGAATATACCCTGAATGTGATTCCTGTTTTGGTTAAATAACCGTTCTTATATAATTATTTTCAGAGACAAAGACAGAAGCAGACGGAGATCAAGAAGTCGGGATCGTAAACACAGTGACCGGAAAAAAAGGTCACATTCAAAAGAAAGAGATAGAAGTAGACACAGGAAGTCGTCTCATAAATCATCTCGGCATAAGAGAGATATTATTTCATCCACTGACAAGTTGGATAAAAAGTCTAAGGAGATCCTAGAACAACTTGTCGATAACAAAATTGTACCTCCTTTGGAGGATAGATTGTGGAAGCACGTGGCCCAGGAGGACATTGTTCCAGGTATGGGTAAGTGTAGATAATTTGCCGTTTCAATTTTTTTATAGATTTATTTATAAAATTAGCTTGCTTGTTTCTGTGTTAGAAGGCGGGGTCACCAAAAAATTTAATTTTTTTTGCATTAACTCATCATTTATATTTTCTATTTGACACATTACCGGTAATTTTAATCAAAATATGCATAGCATGACGCTTTTTTATGTTTCCTACTGATAATTGATAAAACAAGTATTTGATCAAAATAACATTATTAATTTCAGGGAAGTTTACAGATTAACATGTTTAAAAAAAAATCTACAGTTACAAATCTATTGTTATACGAACAAAATATATTAAATGTTTTAGTAATAGATCAAGATTAATTAGGGTTTCCTTATGTGTACCACAGGGCTCTCACTGTTCACCACTTTTATTTAATAAATTTATTAACGATATAATAGAATGCTTTAAACATTGTGAGTTCTTAATGTTCGCGGATGACCTATAGTTGTATAGACCAATTTATTCATCTAACGATCAAGCCTTCATTTAGAATGATCTCGACAACTTAGTTAAATGGTGCGACCATAATAACCTACAGTTGAATGTTAATAAATGTTGCTTTATAAGCTTTTTTAAAGGAAACAAAAAGTGCAACTCACAATATTACATTAATGATAAGCCACTATCTCGGGTTAACTCAGTCAAAGATTTAGGAGTTATTTTAGATGAACAATTAATATTTATTGAACATATAAATTCAATCTCAATAAAATCATCCCAATGCTTAGGGTAAATATTGCGTAACTGTTCTCATTTCTCTCTAGAAGCCATAAAAAGAGTTCATCAAACATTGGTTGTACCTCAGTTTTAGTATGCTTCTATAATTTGGTCGCCACAATATCATATACACTGTCTAGCAGTGGAAAGAATACAAAATAAATTTCTAAGATACTGTGCCTTCAAATTAAATATTCGGGTAACCGATCACAAATATATTAGGATTTTAAATGAAATGAATATGAGCCGACTTAAGTACAAGAGACTTATATCAGATTTGAATTTTATCTATAGATTATTAAATGGTCTAGTCATATGCCCGGAACTCTTAGAAATGATCTTTCAATAATCCTAATAGAGTCCTTAGGCAATTAAATAAGTTCTATTTCACAATACAAACTATGGCATGCATTTACCTATTGAAAGAACATTGAGGGTAATAAATCAATTGAATCTTGAGGTTACAGCCATTTCTTTTAACAAATTTAAGGCAATCTGTACGAATGCACTGGAGTAAAAATGAAATATTACAGACGGATTTACAACACTTAAAATGCATTTATTAATCTAAAACTTATTTCACTTAATTTTAACCTTTTTTTTTTCTCTTACTTGTATTTTTTTTTATTTAATTTATAATTTATAATTATCTGTATCATTTATGTGTTTTGCTTTGTAATGGGGTTGATCCCGTTTAAATAAATAAACATTGAAATAGAATTACACCCGGTATATTATATTTTTCTGATGTATAGGGTAAATTGAATGTTTGTTTAAAAAAAATTCAAGCAAGATTCAAAAGGTTTACCAGTAGAATGATTTTCAATTTTATTTTGGGCAAACGTGAAAATTTACAAGGCAACACCACATAAATATTGATTTCCCGAATTTTACTTATATTTTACTTTTATCAAAAAGTAAGATTTAGAAAATTAAGCTTGCCTTTGAAGTAATGATTGTTCAATAAAACATATCAGTTGATATGGGTTTCTTATAATTTTGAAATGTCGTTGTAATTATATTAGGCTGAAGACTAGATATTTGTGTAACCACTAGATATGACTTAAATTGAATTTACATGTTTTCTAAAATGGTGATAACGTTAAATTACAATCTGCAGTAAATCTGAATTAGTAAGTAATGTTTTATGGGTGGATAGTTTCAGGCATGTTGGTGATTTGCCGGATTTTTACTTTAAGTTACGTCATTTGACGCGAAATTTTATGCTCTTTAATTTTATAAAGAGTTACATTTTCTGTAGGATGCGTCGTTTTATAGTTTAGGCAAAAACCAAGCAAAATTTTCTGCTTTTTGGCTTTCAAAAATTAAGACAGCTCAGAAACCGTTGCAAACTCATCTAACGCATATTTGGGATGTCTAAAGTGAATTAAAAAAAAAAATCCAGCTTGGTACGAATTTTTTGGCGTCAAAAGTCTAATTTGCCTACCCTATTATAATTTGAATTGAAGGGGTTAGAATACAAAGGGTACCTATTAAACTATTTCGAATAAATTAAGTTTAAACTTAACTAGTCACAAAATCTGCAAATAAGTTAAGTTTGTGGTTTTTGTGGGGATGTTTGTTTAGGGAATGCTACTTATAAGTATCGTAAGATGGAAATTGAAATCTTTTCCCAAAAAAATTAATGTAAGCAAGCGTGAAAAGTGCAATAACTTTACTAAATACTGAATTAGACAAAATAAATTAACTAAATATTACCAATATAATTAGAAATCAAACTTATGAATACAAGTGTCAATATCAATATAATCCTTCAAATAATATAACCCAAATATGACATTATCTTAGATAACAAAATGTATTATCCTGGGTTTAAAATTTTATCTTTTTTTTATGCAACCCACTATTAGTATAAAAAAAATGTATAATTTATTCATTCCATTAATATCAGATAATATAAATTGTATTTTAACTTTGTATATTGGTATTTGTCGAAGATTTTTTTATTATTATTCTACTAATAATTTTATATTTTTGCAGCCATTGAAAGTGATAGTGATCATGAACCTACATCAACTGTTACCATCCCTACACCTCCAAGGATTCCAGAAAATGAAGAAGATAAGAACTGTGAGTTTTACAGTATTAATAGATTAAACTAGTTAATATAATGTATTATTTTTCAGTACCAATATCCCCCGAAAAAGAAAAGGATTTAAGCGACTTAACTAGAAGTACATCGCCTCCACCAGTGATCAAACCTACAGAAATATGGAGGGGTGTAATTAACATGATAGATGTTGCTGAAATATCCATTACCGCCCATGAAGTTTCCGGTAAGTTTTAAAATGATTGTAAAATGTTTTTTTCGCCACAGAGAAAAACGGTACTTATGAGACTCTAAAACAATGGGGCGCCAGTTTTATTAATCTTGTTTACAAATTTGACTGTCATAACTACATGTATCGGTGGTTTAATTGGTACAGGGGCAGTTGTTTTTCTTCTTTTAATTTTACAACTTTTTCAATTTTTTTTGTAGAGGGAATTGGGTATTATACCTTTAAATTTCCAAAAAAAAATACATACTTTAGTTTTTCGATCTAAAACGATTTTTCAACTATCTTTATCATAAATTTTATATTTACTTAAAAAATTAACAGATGTTTGTTTTAGTTGAAAAAATGGTATTGACTATTCAATGATATATAATTTAATAGCTATTTATGAAACCAGTTACGAAATGTCTCATTTTATGTAACTAGTGAATATTTGCGGGACGAGCAGAGCGAGGTCTCGCAACATGTACATAAAACATAAAATTACCTATGATTATGATTTAAATAATCCATTTTTTTGCAAACTTTGCATACTTTTACTATAATTATTTGAAATTATTTTTTCACCAAATAAAACGTTTTGCAAGGAAATACAAATACTACAAAAACATAAACAATCAAAATGTCGACACAAAACTAAAATACTATATTGCCACATCAATAATTATTAATGACAATAGATATTGTACCTTTATCACATTCCAGAAAATTCATTTGAGAATATTAATGAAACAAAATAGGCTTATTTACTATATTATATGAGAATATCACTTTTAATAAAGTATTTAACTGATCTGTAGCATGTAACTTCATTTTGCAATTTCTATTTACTAAATTTTATCATAAAGGTATGTAATGCATAACACATTCTAAAATTAAAATATTGTTTGCAGGTGATTGTTCAGGATTAAATAAAGAACTTTCTACAAACTTGGACATAGTTGGTAGAATATCTCCAGATACCGTTTGGGACTACATCGGCAAGATGAAATGTTCTAATAGCAAGTCTATCTCTCTGATACGATTAAATGCCACGAACATGGAAGAAAAGATGCCCTATTTGGCATTATACAGCTACTTGAGCAGTAGGGATAGGTTAGGAGTTGTGAAAAGTTTAAATAAAGCAGTAAAAGATTTTTATATTTATCCTCTTGCACCTCAGAAACCTATACCTCAAGTTTTATTGCCTCTTAATGGACCAGGTAATACTTTTTTGAAATTCCTATAAAATATTTCAATACTAAATTATAATGTTTGTTAAATGTAGATAAGTTTGGAGTGATTGGCAAAACATGGTTCTAAAGCAGACCTTGAAAAATTTCAAGCATGTGTCAGTTTTAATTTAATTTAGCACCATACTGTTATCACTTATAGCCAGTTTTTAGAAACATTTTTTGAAGTTCACTCTTTATATACAATAAGGTTTTATTCATTTGTTAATAAGCTAAGTTCTCTTTATTTTACAAATCGACTGTTGAAACTTTTGACAGTGATTTTTTTATTGAAACAATTTCATATTGAGGTAAAATATGTATTAAGAGGGCGTTCAAGTACCTAAGCCTCTGTAGTTAACAGATTTAATTCTAAGCCAGCCCTCTCTCGCACACAAACTTTCAATGATCTTAGACCCCCACCCCCTTGTAACGAGCACATTTGGCCGTTCATAATTCTTAATAGTAGATTGGACTTACCTCTTTCTAAGTTCGTTAGTATTGGTATACGATTTTGGAGTTATTACTTGTTGCAAACTAGCAGTATTTATTGACAACTTTCTTTTGACCGATTGCCTAATGACTATCTTTAAACGGGTGTTTTTGAATTTATTCGTGGTACTTAGGGTGTACAATTTTCGACCTCAAGATGAAACTTAAAAAAAATCACTGTCGGCAAAAAATACAAATAAATCCTTAATTTGTATTTTGATGGCTATTGTTAAACATCGCATTTTATTTATAGGTTTTGAAGAATCTAGACCTGCTCTTTTGCTTGGTATAATCGTGAGGGATAAGCGGAAACGGCCTTATACAGATTCTCTTCCCGTTTCCTCTAAGAAAACTAGAATAGACACCCCACCGTTGCCCGTGGCTCCGCCTCCAGTTGCACCACCTCCGCCGCCCCCGCCACGTTCGTATACGCCACCACCACCACCCGTCAACAAAGATCCACGACTGGCTGCTAAATTACCGCCTGTTGTTTTGCCACCTCCGGTTGTACCTCCTCCTAGAGAAGCTACGCCACCTATTGTTGTTTCAGAAGGAGGTAATTACAAATTTTTCAATACTTCAATTTATATTTTACAAATTATAATTTTGTTTTTGGTATCGAATGTTGTTTTTATAGCTTCCTAATCAATTTTTAATAAAAAAATAATAAAAATAGAAAACAATGAAAGCTATTGATCTCACATATACTATCTGAAAGGCCGATCGATCATATTTACAAATAATTTTACTCACTAAAAACCGTAGATAAATTAAGATAAATGGGTTCCTTGATAATATTTGGAAACGTAATGCTGCTGCATAGTATGGAACGGATTTTTTTTTAACTATAAAGTTAGTGGCCTTTACATTTTTTGATATTCAACACTCTAAAAAACTAATATTTACATTAAAATATATCTTTATAAATCAAAATGGAAAATTGGGAAAAAGCTGAAAAGGCCTTTTGCTATGGGAATGTTTTTCGAACTCAAGATCACTACTCACGAATCAAACGATAGATATTCGTAATTCTTTTTTTGTTTCATTCTTTGAAACATTCTCAAAGGAAATTCGGAAAATTCTAACAAACTACTAAAATCATAATGTTTTATGCACTCTCGATCATAATCGTCTATTTACAAAGCTCAATTCAGGGTTGGTGATTCATAAATTATTTAAAGTTTGATGTTGTATGTCACAGAATAACCACCTATGTTTTGTTTATGAAATGCACTGTATTTTATCAATATATTTTATTTTTATTACCGGTTTTAAATTTCAAGCCAAACAAACGTCAAATTGTAAGTTAATAAAAATATTTCATGTGTACATGCGCCAGATTAAAAATCCGGAGAATAGTCAGTGATTTTTCTAACCGTTCCCAATCAGTTTGCAATCACTTCATTTGTTTCTACGAACGCCAAACTAATCATTGTAACTATCAGTAATTCTTCTACGAACGCAAAATATTCAAGTTGGAAACAGTTGTAGATCGCTTTACGGACAAACCTATTTTAAGGTTAAATCGTAACGCCTTGAAAACGATAATTATTATTTTCTCATATTCTTCTTTATCATCATATTCGATGACATTAAGTAACCATCGTTACTTTTACACTTATAGAATTGTATATACGACTAATGAATAGACATACATCTTTCATTAAAAATAAATACAACTTATTGCTATAAAATTATCAAAATTTAATTTCTTAGCAAATTAAAACAAAGTATTATTATTACTGTTTTAGATGAACCATACAGTCCTGGAGATTCTTCAGATAATTCACCCATCATAGAAGATGTACCTGCACAAAATCCTGCCTCTATTCCAATAATTTCTTCAATTTTGGAAACTTCTACACCATCTCCAACTTTTTCAGCAATACCTGGTAAGCCAATCTTAACATTTTGCTCAGATCGTGTAAAAATTCATAACTACTTTAGTAAAAAACCCAATCACTATATCTTCTTTTTGTTCATTAATAAATTCATTTTATACCTAATAAATGTAATTGATAAGAAAGTGCAGTTTCTCTTTAAGTACGATGTAAATTTTTCTCTTAAATACTTATTTTTTTTGTAGGTCTTACTGCAGGTTTACCTTCAAGTACCCTTGAGGTGCAAAGACAAATTGAAGAGCTAAATAAGAAGATCGAGATGCAAAAATCTGAAATTACTAGCATGACTCAAAACATTGTATCAGCATCAACAGAAATTCGTACTACTTCACTAGCAAATATCGCTTTGCCTACAAATCTTCAACAAATTTTAGATAGCATCAAATCAATAGGAGATGTAAGTAAATCGTTAAAACTATTTTAACGGTAAATTAATTAAATTTTACAAATTTTTTAGACTACAGATTCGCCGGCACCATCTACTAAGGATCTTCCTCAAACAGATCTCACAATTCCCTTGATGATTCCGAAACGAAATAATAGACAGTTGAACAGCACACCCACCCCTATACAAAATGATGTTCCCAGTGACACGATACCGTTAAAATTACCTAATAAACCGATACTTAAACTTTTAGCCAATTCCCCTCTTAGATCTCAATCCGTCAGTTCTCCTGTACCAGAAGACAAACCCAGTGTACTCAGTTCTTTAACAGAAGAGGAATTGATTAAGAAAGCAGCAGAAATGTTGGGAGAACAAGAATCGACAGATAAGAAGGAAGATCCAGAGGAGAGTCCTCAAAATGCTAAAAGGCCTAAAGTCGACGTGATTTTACCACCAGTCCCGGGTATTGAGGATGACACTTAGAATTAAATGCTAGTACTGTGGTATTTAGATTACTTAGGCGTTAATTTTAACGATGGTTTAGCGGGCTCTGGGGCTTGACTAGGGCTGGGCGATAAATTATCGATTATTTTGGATGAATCGATTATTTTGCCCATCCCTAGACTCGGCAGTTAATGAAATTATGATAAAATCTATTAAAAAGCTGGCGAAAAAGTAAAGTTAAATAAAAATTATTTAGGTATTTTGGTAGTAACATAAGATTTACTTTTTTTCACATTCGTACCATATCTTTATAATTACGGCTTTATTTTTAAAAAATCCTAAAATGGTTTGTAAATATTTTTTATTTAATTTGTGGAATCATATTTTTTATATTGAAAGAGTGCAATTTATTCAAGAACCAAAGAAAGTTAGAGAAGCCCCAAGGTCTGTTTTATAAATATAAAAATGTATAAAAAATAAAATTTTGTACAGTTTTAGTATTAGTATTTAGATTTAACCCTTAATCGTAATGTGTAAATAATTTTAAATAGAAAACAGTTTTTCTATAGTCAGATTTAATTGTATCAATTATGTTTCACTTAATTTAAAAGATAAAAATGGAGAGCATGTTTTTATTCTATTACTACATATTTGTTTGTAAAAAGCTGTTTTAAATATCAAAAATTAGAAAGAAATAAATTGTATTTATACATTAATTTTTATTTCTAAACCGATTAAGTCTAACGGGTGCTTAACCGAATTAGGCTTTTTCTACTCCTATAATTATCCAAACGCAATATTCGGTCTGTAATTCATTTACTTTCCAGATTCTGCAAGGCGTTTTCTTGCCTCAAACAAAATGCTTCTTAATTTTGTCACCTCGGTCCGGGAATTACTCGGGCGCCAGTTTTGTTGCGCTTTGTTTGCTCTATAACCTTGCAATGCAGCTTTCGAAACGACTTTGGCAGGTACAAGTGGAGATAACGAAAAATTTCACGGTACCGTTATTTGAAATAGGTAACAATAATTGACTTTAATCGCTACAGTCACGCAAAATTTCCGGATGCCAAAAAGAGGTAATAGTGGTTAAATACATTGTTAAATAACTGCAATTATAAACCAAACGGGTAAAATCAATACATATATTGCTTAAGAAAATTAGTTAACAGTATTATTTCAAAGCCCACCTTTAAATAAAAAAATGTTAAACTAATCCTGGTTTAGTGTCGTCAGTGATGGGATATCAATCAGATGGTAACAATAAATACATTAAATAAGCATTGAAAAATAAATCCGACAAATATATTATACTCGATATTAAATCAGGGAAACTTGTCACTTGCATTAAGGAACCAAATAAAATATGCATAAATGGGTAACTAAATGCAGTAAACATGAGATAAATCGACATAAATATCTCGATCGTAAAATCCTTAAATCCGCCAAATGATTAAATGAAGCTATCACGCACCGAGGTCAACACTCTGTGTGGCTTTAAATAAAGTAAAAATAAAATAACAAGGTAGTTACGGCGTTCGAATGAAACTAGTTTTATGTACTTATTACTAATCATTTCAGAAAACTATTTGTAATCGCAACCCTTTGTCTGGTTTTCAACATTAAATCGGATAGATAATTAAATGAATTAGCACTGACCACTAGCTATGCTCCCAGAGGTCAACCCCAAGGATTATTAAAATACAGTGAATATAAATTAAAAAACGCAAGGATGTTGCGGTATCAATATAAAAACTTAATAACTGCAGTGGTTCCTCAATCAAATCTAATTTCTATCACTAATAAGATAAGAATTGAAAATAATAAAAAAATATTTTCAAAGTCGGATTTGGGTCTAAAAATGATGAAAGGCCGCAGTGTGGCCCGTGGTAAAAATTTTAGGGTGTTCTGCAATTTTTGCAAAAAAGCTTAGTTTTTAGGGGGGGTTGTCTTCTTAATCAAAGTGCCATCGATTTTATCGTGCTTGCTGAATGATGGATTGCTGGAATGATTGCTATACAAAACAAGTATTAGAAATTAAAAAAACCGACTTCAAAAACGTGCAGATGCCGTCACCACATCTTAACCAAATTTATATGGAACCACCCCTGAGGTACCCCCTTACTAACAAAAAAAGAATCATATGAATCGGACAGGGTGGTAAAGCATTATCGCTAAACATACATAAAAAATGAAGAGTTTGAGGATTTTCTCATGGACCTAATTATTAGATTTTGACCAAATTTATATGGGACCACCCCTGAAGTACCCCTTTTCTAACAAAAAAAGAATCATTGAAATCGGACACCGTGTTAAATTATTGCTGATAATACATAAAAAAAATATTGCAACGAATTGAGAACCTCCTCCTTTTTTGAAGTCTGTTAAAAAAAGAATCACCAAGCACTATTTTACTGTACTCTATTTTCTTCAAGCAAAATACAACATGTTTAAAAAATAATGTGAACAATTTAAACTGATAGTCTATCCTACGTTCTTTTCGGTTCGCAAATTTTGTAATAACTTTTTCATTAAAATTGTCTATTTCGGAAGTAAAATTTTTTTCAATAGATAGCATGGAAAGAGCTGTTAAACGATCTTCGGTCATTGAATTTCTGAGAAACGTTTTGATTCGGTTTAGTGTTGAGAAATATCGTTCGGCCTTTGATGTTGTCATAGGAGTTGTTACCACAATTTCTATTAATTTTCTAGTCTCATTTAACGTAGCTCCTAGACTGTTTGATATTAAAAATGTTAGTAGAGGTAGTGCGCCATTCAATGTCCTGCAATCATTTCTTGAATAAATAACAGACAGTTCAATTCGCAATCGTTCTTTGTCAAGTGTGGGATAAAAAGAGCAAGCAGAAGTGAGTTTATCCTCGGGAAATTTACCACAATGCTCTCCAGAGCATTCCGTCCGTCCGCCATGACCGCCCAAAATGGAGAATTATTAATTTCCTCAATTATTTGTTCATGACGGACATCAAGTAACAGAGGTGCCTTTAAATATCGAAGAATTTTTTAGGAGTTCACTTAGAGTTGCATCTAATTCAGCCGAGAACTATTCCCGGATTCTCGGAAGAATCGCTCTCATCATGTCCCCGAAGAGCCAGTTCAAAAGCTCTACAAAACTTAATGCAATTAATAATTTTGGATAAAATATACCTATTATATAAGCAGAATCTAATTGAGCCATATTAGTTGTCCCTAGCAATGCATATTCCATGCAATTATGAAGATGGCTTTCAGAGTTTTTGTTTTTTATCTTTAAACTTGTGTTCTAGATCGGTGACCAGTATTTCCGTCCAAGCTTTATCGCCACCAAAAAGTAAACAGGGAAAACAGTACAGATCATTTTTTTTGTTGCATCCACAGATCCATTCGTTTTTTGAATAAATATCTCTATTAAATTTTCGTGTATAACTTTTTCCTCTACTTACACCAGTTATCAGCAATACACAATACACGCACCCTTAAAATTATTGTTTTTAACTCGCCGTAAACTCCAAAGTCGCAACAAATTTCGAAAAAATCGACACCCTACGAATTACGCGCTGCGCTGGACTAATTGCAGAGAACTCTCCACCTAAATCACCGGTTTGTTTTAACCGAGGGCGCGCGGGTAGCGGAGTGGATGTTTGAAAGAGCACACAGAGCTCCATCATGTGGCCCAGATAAATAATAGTTCAGCGACAGCCTGTGCAAGCGTGTGTGTCGGTAGGAAGGTAGGTTATTCCACTGGTCGACTTTACGTACACGGACGCCAGCGCTTCGCCAGCAGTTTTTTTTTAATCATTATTACAATGCGAATATAATATTATACATCTTCTTTTTGGTAATAGGAAATATTTGAGTTAGATTATGTATTTAGCAATTTTTTTTTTTTTGGGAGCTCTGCAGCACTTATCCACCAGCCGCCACTGAAAGGCTGCAAATAAACAAAAATGTAATTGTCAAAATCCAAAATGTTTAAATTCAAAATTACTAGTATACATTGTTTTTTTTTTTCATTGGTGTCTTTGGCTTCAACAACTTAGGTCATTAGCCTCGTGTTAATGTGAACATTGTGATATTTTTGGAACTATTAATGCTCTCAAAACTTACTTATTTTTTTTTTAATTTGGTGTTATTGGCATCAACATCTAAGGTTATTATTCTACATATTACTGTATTCTATTTAAAAGGGGTTACACATAAATAAATAATATTTACTAAACAATATAATTCAAAATTTATTTCCTATATTTTCAAAGGCTAAAATAAAAATAAATAAACGGCGACAAAGGAACAAAAACTTATTTCTCATTTATCTGTGAACACAATAATAAAAATCGAATATTTGGTTTTAAATGCAAATCAGTACACATGGTTATTTACAAAAAAAAATAGACAAACATGCGATGCTCTGTTGTACCTTTGTAACTTATTCAAAATCGGAAAGCTTTTTGGACTTCTTTACTGTCTGAAAATGGGAATTATTTCAATGGATATCACCCAAATTTAATTCACGTTTCTAGAGGATTGTTTGAAATTGTAGTAAAAAGAATACATTGTATTTCCAATTACGATATATTTTAACTTGAAAGATTTTCAAAACATGTTAAAAAATCATAACCATACATCTATCTTTTAATATTGTGTATAAAAAAATATGAAAACAATGTTGGTCATTTATAAATTGTTTCACTTAACACATGCCTAACAAAATAAAAGCACAATACATTTTTTAAAGCTACATTGTACAGAGTGGTCTATACAATAGTTTGTGCATACACTGAAGTCGGAAAATTAATAAATGTAAATCACAGATTCATTATGCCTCCAAAATTAAAAAAGTTAAGGGTCTTCATTTATAGTACTGTTCTTTGTAATAAAAATATATTGGTCATATAAACCACCTTGTATAAAAACTTCCTTAAGTAACATCACTTGACAAATTAGCTACATATTAAATTTGTTTGAATCAGTCTTAATCTGTTCCAAAATACTTTTGGCCAAAATGATTTGGTGCTACAGGATGGACTTCTGAAGTTGATATTTTCATCTAAAACAAAATGTTTAAGAAAACTCATTAAAATCTATATTATTTAGTATAAAGGAAATTTGAATGTAAATTTTGGCAGTATGCTTGAATAAAAAGCAAAACTTGAACATTTTCTACCTGCTCTTAGATGTTTCTTTGTTCTATAAAAATTTTAGTAATAATTCAAGCACTAGAGAAATCTCAACTGGACAGCACTATGACTAGACAAATCAGAGTGATACAAAATATCCTTGATTAAACTCCTTCAAAAATCCTTTACTTGTGAAATTTAAATATTTATTTACCTTTGGATATAAATCTAAAACTGTTTGAACAGCTTGAGGGGTACAAAATAAATTACTAAGTACTATGCATTCTTCTTTAACACCATGTTCTTTAAGTACGTTAACAGCTTTACTGACAGTATTTCCTGTAGACATTATAGGATACATAAGTAATACCTAAAACAATATAATTAAATTTTGATCAGTCAATACAAATAAACATAGTTACTTACATGCCTTTGTGAAATATCTTCAGGAAACCTGGCATACACAACTTTAGCCTCATGTGTATCTAAATCAGATTCTACCAATATTTTTCCTATCCTAATACTTCTACAACAGTCCCTTAAGCCTTGCTCCATTGCTTCTCCAGACCTTACTATGGATACCCCACAATTACCAGATTTATATTTTAAGCCATCATAGGTGGCTCCTGTTGGGGTAATTACATCACAATTAGTAAAAGGCAGTTGATTCAAGCTATCTTCGATCACTAACCTAATAAGTCGGTCAGCATAAAACTTAAAGTCACTTCTAGAAGTGTTTCTAAAAGAACATGTTAAATAGAAAACCACTATAATAAAACGTTTATATTTACTTGTCTCTTAGGATTGTTTGAAGTTCTTTAATTTGATCATGCAGTTTCAGTACGTGAAGACCCTTATAATTTTTGCAAAATTCGAAGCCATTAGAAGTTTCGTGATCTTGGCTGCCCATCTTCAGAAATGTATGTTCAACAAGCTTTATAAACTGAAATAATTAAAAAAGGAAAAGTTGGTTCTTATCGTCATTTTATAGAGAATTTATTTGGACTTACCTAGGTACCAAAATGCCGATCGAAAAATTAAAAAAGTTTATTTTTTTATGCAGAAACACGTTTTCAAATTGAAATTGAGCTGCCAGTGACTTGACAATCTTGACATTTGACATGCTTGACTTGACACGACGTCAAGTTGACTTCTTCTTTAAATTCACTTTTTGGCCTAAGCTACAGAAATTATCAGTCCAGAAATTACGAAGATTAGGGTCCGTATTTATAAACAGAACTCAGCTGAGTCGAACTAAAATCGAAGTTCGGTTACAACGTCCTTAAAGTTCCAGGTGGTTCCGGTTTTACACTGGAATTTAGAGATGGATATAAGCAAATCTGTAACTGTTAAGTACATTCACAGATTTGTTACTACCCATCTCTAAATTCAAACGATATAACCGAACTTCGATTTTCGTTCAAGGACGACTCACCCAAGTCCAACTCAGCTGAGTTCTGTTTATAAATACAGACCTAGGTAGGATTCCGATTTTTGCGTTATTAATATTGATAAATATCACCCATTACAATAGTTATTAATGTAAATACATAATGTCCAGCTTACTATCAAAACTTACTAAGTTTATTCTTTGGACTTTGAAGTTGTCTATTATTTGGTATTCCTTTAACACCAATACATGATCCTTGCAAGTCTAGCGCGATTCTAAGCATCATCTGCAGTTTTTTAATACTGTCCATTTTTGTATTTCGTTCAAATGTTTTTCGGGTCTCTTGTAAAATCATTCTTAGGTCCGTATTTATAAACATAACTTACCTGAGTCGGACTTGGGTAAGTCGTCCTTGAACTAAAATCGAAGCTCGTTTACAACGTCTCTAAAGGTGGTTCTGGGGGTCGATTCTCGACTTTTATTCCCATGGGAAAATAAAATTTTCCCATGGGAATTCAGTTTTCGTATTCTCGGCATAAGCGGTGGAATATTTTCCAATGAGAAGTATGGGAAAATATTCCCCTGCTTACGAGCATTGGAAATTATGTTTTCCAATGGGAATTGTACTAGAGTTTGCGCATTAAAGTCGAAAATTTGACGAAAGACCACGCGAAAGACTAAGACATAACCAAAGATTATTGGATATCTTGGATTTTTGGTGAAATTGTAATTAAAACATTTTTTTTGTGTATTTACAAATTGATATTATTTTATTTATGTGGGGATATTATTTTTACCTCTTTTTCACTAAGAAACTGATTTTCTTAAATTAGTTATAAATTGTGGGAGTTGCTAAGGGACTGGCAAATAGGTAACACAAATTGAGAAATTTGTAGTAAATTTAATAAGACCTTTTCGAAAATTTTATTATTTCCGTTAACGAAAGAATTTCTTAGTTTCTCGAAACTTTCGTTGCTCTTCTATACAAAAGCTACTTTTTCTTTTTTCAATATGTGAAAAGAAAAACTAAAAATAACTCGAAAAGTTTTAATTATACATAATCGAATATTTTCACTTGTCCTCGGTCAGCTTGCTTTTTATTTTTCTATGGATTGCTCGGCACGGCATCTGCTCCAGCGCAGAGGCTCGGCAGGTAATCGGTTACCCAAAAACCACAACAAATACAAATAATACCAACAGTAAATTTTAAAATATCTTTAATGTTATTGGTTATTTCGAAATATTCGTGAACTTAATATCAGACATACGTGAAACTATTATTTCCATGGGAATGTCTATTCCGACAAGTTCGAGAATTGCATAACCTATTACCATGGGAATATAAGTAGTGGAATCTTTTCCCATGGGAAAATTTTCCAATGAACTCGAGAATCGAGCCCCAGGGGGTCGATTCTCGACTTTTATTCCCATGGGAAAATTTTATTTTCCCATGGGAATTCAGTTTTCGTATTCTCGGCATAAGCGGTGGAATATTTTCCAATGAGAAATATGGGAAAATATTCCCCTGCTTACGAGCATTGGAAATTGTGTTTTCCAATGGGAATTGTACTAGAGTTTGCGCATTAAAGTCGAAAATTTGACGAAAGACCACGCGAAAGACTAAGACATAACCAAAGATTATTGGATATCTTGGATTTTTGGGGAAATTGTAGTTAAAACATTTTTTTGGTGTATATTTATAAATTGATATTATTTTATTTATATGGGTATATTATTTTTACCTCTCTTTCACTAAGAAACTGATTTTAGTTGTCCCTAGCAATGCATATTCCATGCAATTATGAAGATGGCTTTCAGAGTTTTTGTTTTTTATCTTTAAACTTGTGTTCTAGATCGGTGACCAGTATTTCCGTCCAAGCTTTATCGCCACCAAAAAGTAAACAGGGAAAACAGTACAGATCATTTTTTTTGTTGCATCCACAGATCCATTCGTTTTTTGAATAAATATCTCTATTAAATTTTCGTGTATAACTTTTTCCTCTACTTACACCAGTTATCAGCAATACACAATACACGCACCCTTAAAATTATTGTTTTTAACTCGCCGTAAACTCCAAAGTCGCAACAAATTTCGAAAAAATCGACACCCTACGAATTACGCGCTGCGCTGGACTAATTGCAGAGAACTCTCCACCTAAATCACCGGTTTGTTTTAACCGAGGGCGCGCGGGTAGCGGAGTGGATGTTTGAAAGAGCACACAGAGCTCCATCATGTGGCCCAGATAAATAATAGTTCAGCGACAGCCTGTGCAAGCGTGTGTGTCGGTAGGAAGGTAGGTTATTCCACTGGTCGACTTTACGTACACGGACGCCAGCGCTTCGCCAGCAGTTTTTTTTTAATCATTATTACAATGCGAATATAATATTATACATCTTCTTTTTGGTAATAGGAAATATTTGAGTTAGATTATGTATTTAGCAATTTTTTTTTTTTTGGGAGCTCTGCAGCACTTATCCACCAGCCGCCACTGAAAGGCTGCAAATAAACAAAAATGTAATTGTCAAAATCCAAAATGTTTAAATTCAAAATTACTAGTATACATTGTTTTTTTTTTTCATTGGTGTCTTTGGCTTCAACAACTTAGGTCATTAGCCTCGTGTTAATGTGAACATTGTGATATTTTTGGAACTATTAATGCTCTCAAAACTTACTTATTTTTTTTTTAATTTGGTGTTATTGGCATCAACATCTAAGGTTATTATTCTACATATTACTGTATTCTATTTAAAAGGGGTTACACATAAATAAATAATATTTACTAAACAATATAATTCAAAATTTATTTCCTATATTTTCAAAGGCTAAAATAAAAATAAATAAACGGCGACAAAGGAACAAAAACTTATTTCTCATTTATCTGTGAACACAATAATAAAAATCGAATATTTGGTTTTAAATGCAAATCAGTACACATGGTTATTTACAAAAAAAAATAGACAAACATGCGATGCTCTGTTGTACCTTTGTAACTTATTCAAAATCGGAAAGCTTTTTGGACTTCTTTACTGTCTGAAAATGGGAATTATTTCAATGGATATCACCCAAATTTAATTCACGTTTCTAGAGGATTGTTTGAAATTGTAGTAAAAAGAATACATTGTATTTCCAATTACGATATATTTTAACTTGAAAGATTTTCAAAACATGTTAAAAAATCATAACCATACATCTATCTTTTAATATTGTGTATAAAAAAATATGAAAACAATGTTGGTCATTTATAAATTGTTTCACTTAACACATGCCTAACAAAATAAAAGCACAATACATTTTTTAAAGCTACATTGTACAGAGTGGTCTATACAATAGTTTGTGCATACACTGAAGTCGGAAAATTAATAAATGTAAATCACAGATTCATTATGCCTCCAAAATTAAAAAAGTTAAGGGTCTTCATTTATAGTACTGTTCTTTGTAATAAAAATATATTGGTCATATAAACCACCTTGTATAAAAACTTCCTTAAGTAACATCACTTGACAAATTAGCTACATATTAAATTTGTTTGAATCAGTCTTAATCTGTTCCAAAATACTTTTGGCCAAAATGATTTGGTGCTACAGGATGGACTTCTGAAGTTGATATTTTCATCTAAAACAAAATGTTTAAGAAAACTCATTAAAATCTATATTATTTAGTATAAAGGAAATTTGAATGTAAATTTTGGCAGTATGCTTGAATAAAAAGCAAAACTTGAACATTTTCTACCTGCTCTTAGATGTTTCTTTGTTCTATAAAAATTTTAGTAATAATTCAAGCACTAGAGAAATCTCAACTGGACAGCACTATGACTAGACAAATCAGAGTGATACAAAATATCCTTGATTAAACTCCTTCAAAAATCCTTTACTTGTGAAATTTAAATATTTATTTACCTTTGGATATAAATCTAAAACTGTTTGAACAGCTTGAGGGGTACAAAATAAATTACTAAGTACTATGCATTCTTCTTTAACACCATGTTCTTTAAGTACGTTAACAGCTTTACTGACAGTATTTCCTGTAGACATTATAGGATACATAAGTAATACCTAAAACAATATAATTAAATTTTGATCAGTCAATACAAATAAACATAGTTACTTACATGCCTTTGTGAAATATCTTCAGGAAACCTGGCATACACAACTTTAGCCTCATGTGTATCTAAATCAGATTCTACCAATATTTTTCCTATCCTAATACTTCTACAACAGTCCCTTAAGCCTTGCTCCATTGCTTCTCCAGACCTTACTATGGATACCCCACAATTACCAGATTTATATTTTAAGCCATCATAGGTGGCTCCTGTTGGGGTAATTACATCACAATTAGTAAAAGGCAGTTGATTCAAGCTATCTTCGATCACTAACCTAATAAGTCGGTCAGCATAAAACTTAAAGTCACTTCTAGAAGTGTTTCTAAAAGAACATGTTAAATAGAAAACCACTATAATAAAACGTTTATATTTACTTGTCTCTTAGGATTGTTTGAAGTTCTTTAATTTGATCATGCAGTT